TTTCTTTTTAGCCCTTTACATCTCTAGCATTTCATTTGTTTTCCTAATTTTGTATGTTGAGGCTTATTAAAACTTAGAAACTTTGAAAGAGTGGTACATGAGAACCTGAATATCATACCCCATCTGTTGACATTTTGTCACATTGGCTTGATGCTTATACCCTTAGTTCCCCTGTAACATTAAATATGTGTTCTGAAGTTCTCCACCATGGAATATCAATGTGGTGAAAATAATAAGACTCACAAGACAAATGGAGTGCTGAGCACAGCCCTCAAAAACTGTCAATAACACAAGTTAAAAAAAAACTGACAGGAAAAGAAGGCAGGGCAGTTTTGCAGATGTGTATAAACATGGGGTTTGTCCATAGGCAGGAGTGTGGCAAGGGTTGAGTTTGAATTATAATGAAATTACAGAAGAAGGGCCCTCTGTGATCAGACTGAAAGATGTAACACTACATGTTCTTAGCAGGGGCTTATAATACCGAATGACCTGAAGTAGCAGGAAGAGAATCAACGTGGCTGCTGCATTTTGCATATTCTTCTTGGCTTGATTCCGCTGTTTGGTTTTCTGCATCCCCTGCATATCTGATGATTGACATTGTATGTAAGCAAATACAAAATGTATTCTGTGGGTTTGAAAAAGTCATAAATACTATAAATTTACCATAACAACAATAAACAGTTTCACTGTCCTAAAATTCACCCAGTGTTCAACCTGTTTATCCCCTCCTCCCAGACGATCCCTTCATTGTATCTATAATGTCTGCCCTTTTCCAGAATGTCACATAGTTAGAATCATATGGTATGTCTTCTTCTCAGTGAATAATTTTTCCTGGAGCTCCTCCATGTCTTGCTATGGCTCAATAGTGTATTTCTTGTTAGTGCACACTAGTGTTTTATTTTTTATTTTTTTATTTTATCTGCCCCCCACCCCCAAAAGTCCACACTAGTGTTTTATTGTAATAATATAGTTGGCTCATCTACGAACAAAAGTACTATAGTGCTGTAAATGTGTACGTGCAAGGTCTCTGGGTGGACGAGTGTTTTCAACTCATTCGCATAAATACAAAGGAAGACAATTTCTGGGTCATATGATACGAGTATGTTGAATTTTGTTGGAAACTACCCAAATGCCTTTCCAAGTGGTTGAGAGAGATGGGTTTTGATTTAGAGAAGTCAGTCCATCCTGGCTGGAATGGTGCTGGTGCAGCAGAGCAAAGCTACTGACTTCATGCTGGTCAGGGATCAGAAGAAGGAGAAGGAACAGGGCCAGCTATAGTCCCCAAGCTGTAGTAGCCCCTGAGCTTCTGGTTTCCTCCAGCCAGATCCCAATCCTGCCTTTCTCTACCTCCCAATAAAACCTTCTGATTAGTAATCCATCAGGGGATTAATTGAGCCCCAGTACCCCTCCCCCTCCCTCCTTTCCCCCCCCCCCACTGTTCCTAAAGAAAAGAGGTAGGGGCCAAATGAGTCTGGAAAACGTGAAGCACTTTAGAATGGATTTCAAATTCACCATCTGCGGTGGCATATTAAAGTCTCTAAGAAGTCTTGCAATGAAAGAATATACTTAACCTTTGTTCAACTTAGGAGAATTTGTCCTTTTTTTTCACATTTTCCTTTTGCAGACGCCCCATGAACATAAGCTGTGATGTAAACATAGTCTCTAAAGCTGTTCTCCTCCTAGGGAGGTGGTCAACAGAAATATGTGGGTGTCTGTCAGTCAAGGTTCAACCAGAAAAACAGAACAGCTATGGAAGGCACAAAAGCAGTTACTGCACGACTTGATCTTACATAACCGGTAGACATTAGGTAATCTATATAAGGCAATGATGTCTTTGCATTTGATGGTGGAACTTGAAGTCTGCTTGGCAGACTGGTATGGAAGAGGAAGTGAGTGGAGTTAGGAAGGAGAAGAGCTAAAACTCAAGAGGACATGGAGTAATCTGTCCTTCTCCACAGTTTTGGTGATAGAAATGTTCCGTGAAAGAAGCCAGTGTCCTTCTGTATGGAATTGCACGCACAGCTAGTTTAGGAGTCCCAGAAGCTGAAAGAAGATCCAGGGGGAGGTGGCTCTAGCATTGCCAGACCTTGCTGCCGCCCCTGGTGAGCTTGTGGATGGATAGGTGGTAACACAGGAGGGCTTCCTGATGGCCCAGCAGCATGGATCTTCCAAATGTAAACCAGACAAGACTGCTGCCCACAGATCTTCCAGATGTAAGCCCAACAAGGCTACTGCTTCACATCCACCTTCCACATTTCAACTGGGAACATACGAGGAAGAGAATTCTGAGAAGTGCAGTTCGGCCTAGGCAGGTCAGTGCATTACCAAGCCACGATACTTGTGTTCATCAGGCAAGCAGTCCAGAGATGTTGAAAGCAGTGCTAATGGCAATGGCTTTAAATTGAAATGAATCTAAATGGGAAACTCCACTTAGGTAGACAAAGCGCTATGTTCTCATGATAGAAGTAATAGATGAGCAAGGTATTGCTAATACATCAACATGACGAATGTTGCAGAAATATTTGAGAAAAAGAAGACAGAAAAGTAAAGTAGATTCCATTTGTAGAAATTTCAAAAAAAATATTAAAGCTATTGCGTGATTTCCAAAGTCATTGGCCAGAGAGTACGAGTGACTGGGGCGGTGGGGGGAGAGGGGAGGCCTGGAGGCAGGTGGATGGTTCTGATGAGGCCTTCTGTTGTCAATGATGCTCTTTGCTGCTCTTGAACTGGGTGCTCATTACACAGCTACATTCGCTTGGGTAAATTTGTTGTTATAATTTGCATCCTTTAGTATACGGGAATTCAAAAGCCAGGAAAATGAATGCTTCACAAGTTATTGAGTAATTGTAGACAGGCTGGACTGAAGGAAAGAAAGTTAGAACCAGTTGAACCTCGTAAGAAATGGGGTGGAGAAGCAAAGCATTGGGCCCTTGGTAATGCAGATGGTTTGGTGAGAAGGAGACTGAGCTTACTGAGTACCATCATGGCTCTAAGGCTGTCTTCTTTCTGTATTGCCCAGATGTTGCCACGATGGTGAGCGTACCGTGTGCACAGAAACCCGTGTAGGGGCTTTGCTTTGGTACACAGTAGCAGAACCAGCTTTTTTGTAAGGATGAAGGAAGATTGAGCTGATTGAGTTCAGTGAGTTTCCCATTTGCCCTCATTCATTCAATAAGGAAAAAGTCCACCAGAGTATGGAAGTGTTGTATATGGATGGTAGGAGGAAAAAACTGGAATGTAGGGTAGCTTGATGCAATTCTACCTACCTGCAATCCTAGCTACTCAGGAGGTTAATTCTGAGAATTGCGATTTGAAGCAGAAAAGTTCCTGTGAGACTCTTATCTCCAATTAGATACTCAAAAGCCATAAGTGGCACTGTGGCTCAAAGTGGTAGAGCACTAGCCTTGAGCAAAAAGAGCTCAGGGACAGTGCCTAGGCCCTGAGTTCAAGCCCCATGATCATGAATAATAATAACAATAAAACAACTTTTAAGCCTGGCACCAGTGGCTCATGCCTGTAATCCTAGCTACTCAGGAAGCTGAGTTGTAAGGTTTGTGGTTCAAAGCCAACCTGGGCAGAAAAGTCCGTGAGACTCTTATCTCCAATAAACTACTTGGAAAAAGCCATACGTGGCACCGTGGCTCAAATGATAGAACATAGTGCCCATGTCCTGAGTTCAAGCCCCAGGACTGACCAAAAAAAAATTAATAACTTTTATTCTTAAGCTTCCTCTTCTTTCTGAGCAGTAATACAACATCCATATAGCCTTTCTATTTTATAAAAATTATAAAATTTATGCAAATTTACATTTGCATACTTTTTGCTAAATCCATTCTTTGGTTGGAGTCGTAATTCCTCTCCTCTCTTCCCAAGTGCATTGGGCTGGTGGCTGTGGGGTGGGGTGGTTCTCTGTGATGTCTGCTACGTCTTAAGACTGGCTTGTGTGTTCTCTGATGCCCTGCGTAACTATCTGAACACACCATAGTGGCAATTACAGGTGACATTCTTAATGTCTAGAAAACTTAGGATTTACAGGATTAATAAGTTGGCTCAAAAATAAAATCTCACAGGTGTTCCATGTTGAAAATCTTCAAATATTCGTGAAAAGCATAGAGCTCGTTCCATAGCGCTCTCTCTGGCCTGTACGTTACCCTGCTAATTGTGCAGTCTGTCCTTCCTTCAGTCTGGCAGAGGCCGGTCATCACTGGATTCTAAATTTCTGCTTTATTTTCCATCATAGCATTCATGTCCCTGAACTCTCACTGCTGCTCTGCGTCCTTATTTACCTCTATTCCAAACCCTCATCTGCTTGGGATCATCAAATCTCAGTGGAGACTGAGACATTTGCCATGAGTGACTGAGTTCTAAAAGGTTGGAGGCAAAGCGCTGCTGGCTGGCCATTGAGGAATGGTCACATTTGGAGAGAGAGGTTAATGTGGGAGGGAGTAGAAACCATATTGATAAGAGAAGTAAGGAAAGAGCCAAAACAGCACTCTCTTTCTGAGAAACCAAGGAAGACGAGGAGAATATTTGTTTGTTTTTTTAAAGCGCATACCATAAAGAGGTCAATGAAAATGGATTTTTTTTAAGTTTGAGGATTTGTTAAAATCATGATAAGCTATAAGAAAGTGAGAAGAGACAAGAATCTGAAGAGATTTGGGTAAGAATGTAAGATGATGGAAAGGGACAGAAGGGTAAAATCACACATTTAGAGAGTAAGGTGAGGAGGGGAGACCTGGCATGGCCCAGAAGGATGGCAGCACAAAGGCAGTTGACTAAAGAAGAGGGTTGCTTGAGACAGGAAGCAAGTTCTTCTCCTGCGTGAGCATCCTCTGGAGGATCTCACAGGGCGACGGATCAGATGAGCCCTTGCGCATCTCCCTGGTCCTGAGTCAGGCTGTGTCCGCAGCACATGTTTGAGAAGTCATGTGTGGTCAGCACGCAGCTCTTTTCTTTGAATGATTTTGCCTCTTTTAACTTGCAAACTCTTCTTCCCACAGGAAACATGGTAGAATGGTGCTTACCTCAAGACATTGACCTTGAAGGTGTGGAGTTCAAGTCTATGGCCAGTGGGTCCCATAAAATTCAATCTGATTTCATGTAAGTTCTTCTGAACCCAGATCTTCTTCTTTTTTTTTTTTTGGTCGGTCGTGGGGCTTGAACTCTGGGCTTGAGCGCTGTCCCTGCGTTCTTCAGCTCAAGGTGAGCGCTCTACCGCTGGAGCTACAGCGCCACTTCCGGTTTTCTAGTGGTTTTTATTGGAGATAAGAGTCTCACAGACTTTCCTGCCCAGCTTCCAGATCTTTTATTGCACCTCTTCCTCCCTCCCCTCACTTTCGCCAGAGCCCGAACACAAATTATTAAGAGGCCTTCAGGTAGTGTGTGTAAAGGATCGGGAAATATGTATGCCATTTTGTGTTCTATCAATTTTCCAGCAAGAAGAGTGCTAGTTTTCGTTAAGTTCCCTGAGGGTTTCATGATGCCCTGGCAGTGCATGCTTCCTACCACAGGTGTTCTCTCCCTTGCTGAGAGAAGATACAGCTCTCCTGCGAGAGCTCATAGTGGAATAACTTGAAACATGTATGGGCGAAGATATGCAATTCTAGCTGTAAGTAGGGCCAATTTTCAGTCCTATGTAATTGATGCTTTATGAGTTTTGTGAGGGGGAACAAATGAAAAGACTTGAAGAGTAATTGATTAGTGTAATCTCCTCATTGGGACGAAATCTTGAAATGCAAAAGTATGAGAAAGGAGAAGTAAAATGGCAGCTGTGTTGAAAATTTCAGAGGTTCACAAAGTAAGAGAGGAATCATCATGATTTACGCTATGGAAGCAGACTGCTGATTTCTAAGGGGCCCAAGGTTCTGGTTTTCCTGGCCAAGTTAGTACTTGTAGATCAGGGGAGGATGTTTCCACATGAGCATCTAGCCAAACTTGCTGGAGACCACAGCTCGATCTCACTGAGGAGCCTCAGCTGGAAACTTCTGGCATGTTCAAATCTTGGCTGTCTCTCCTCTGTGAGTGTGAATGGTTGAAGGCTGAGCTTTGTGATTTGGAGCTCTGAGGCACAGTGGTTTTGTGTTGAATCGCACTGTAGGGGGGGGGGATAATATTCACTTCCTGATTTCAAGTCATATTACATATTTGGTCTATTTTAGCTATTTTCGAAAGGGACCATTCTTCGGCCTGGCCTGCTTTGCCAACATGCCCGTGGAAAGCGAGCTGGAGCGTGGAGCACGAATGAAGTCTGTGGGTATCCTCTCTCCTTCCTACACCCTGCTGTACCGGTACATGCACTTCTTGGAGAACCAGGTTCGGTATGTGGCTTTCAGCTCTGTGTGGGTTGCGGCAGAGTCTGCCAGCTGGTGCCTGTGCTGTGCACTCCCAGAGAGAAAGGATGTGTGCCACATGCACAGGTGCCGCTCCGGGAGCACCCAAGGCACTGGGCCAAGCCTCAAGCGGTAGTCCTTTCTCTCAGCCAGTGTCTTGGGAAATAATGCTTCCTCCCACAACAAAAGCTGGGGGAGATGTTGCTTTCTGTTTATGTTAATACCGTCATTGCTTTTGTTTCATTAAGTAATTTGTTGACTTGTCCTTGGTCTTTCTTTGTTTACCCCAAGGCAGTATAATTACCTCCTTGCCCCAGAGCAGGTAAACATTCATAACAGATGATACACAGATAGATAGATAGATAAATAGATAGATACACAGATACACAGATACATAGATAGATTAGACAGATATATTTAGATCTATCTTTTTTTTTGCTGGTTGTGGGGCCTGAACTGGGCCTGGGCACTGTCCCTCAGCTCTTCAGCTCAAGGCTAGCACTCTACCACTTGAGCTACAGTGCCATGTCCAGCTTTTTCTGCTTATGTGATACCAAGGAATCGAACCCAGGGCCTCATGCATGCAAGGCAAGCACTCTACCACTGAGCCACCCTCTTAGCCCTAGATCTATCTGTTTGTATGTACAGCACACATAAATAGAGCTATATCTATCATATATATGATACTTACGTCTAGAGATTTATGTCTAACTATACAGATCTCTTTATATGTTGATAACTACATAGATATCTTGACAGATATATATCTAGATAGATGGATATTTAGATAGAGATAGATATGGAGGGAGAGTCATGTACTAATCAGGATAATAGGAAAACATATATTTTTTGTTGGTCATGTGCCTTCAACTCAAGGCCTAAGCACTGTCCCTGAGCTCTTTTGCTCAAGACTAGTGCTCTACCACTTTGAGCCACAGTGCTGTCACTTCCAGTTTCCTGGTGGTTAATTGGAGATAAGAGTCTCACCCAGACTTTTCAGCCTGAGCTGGATTAGAACTGTGATACTCAGATCTTAGCCTCTTGAGTAGCTAGGATTATAGGCATGAGCTACTGATGTAGCCCAGCTAGGAGCATAATTAACAGAAGCTGCAGAACTATTTGCTACATTTTTCATCATGAAAGTAACTTAATTACATTTTAAATTATGAGGGAGAAATGTATCTCTAATCTTGAAAGCATTATTAACTTATAGCAGTACCCCTTTTTGTTTGTCTGTTTGTATAATTGACGCCCATGTACTTGGTAGTGATAGTGGTCCTTGAACCCAGGAACTTAAGGCTTTCCATTTGTATCAATAGAAACTTAGACAAATCTTGTCTCAAAAAAGTGTGTGTGTGTGTGTGTGTGTGTGTGTGTGTGTGTGTGTGTGTGTGTACTGGGCATTGACACTATATGTCAACTCTTATATCCTCTACATTTATTTTACATATGTATTTCTCTACCTGCCTATTTACTTATTTTTGAGACAGGGTTGAACTACGTAGCTGAGATGGCATTGAAATCCTACTCCTGCCTCTGATTTCTGAGCTCTGGGATTACTGGTGTCTGCCACCATACCTAGATCTGTAGCCTATATTTAAAACATTCTTTATTCTTTAAAACTTTTTGCGAAATGTGATCTGCTTTGATCATAGTTGTTGTAAAACTTGGGATGTTTATTAAAGATTCTTATAAATGTACAAAAAATTAAAATTTCTCCCAAATATCAATACTCAGAACTCTGTATATCATACTAAAAATGGGATTGGTAATTATGGTGATTTACTGTTTTGAATAGGTTATTTTTAATAGATTAAGCATAGTTTTGCTTTTGTTGACCAGAAGAAAAGCAAGAATCCCACAAATTCATATGGTTATTTTCTCTAGTTGAGCATTTTAGCATTTAGCATATTTCTTAAAATTTTTCTTCTCTACATTTTGGAATTACGTTGAACAACTTCATGCAAGTCTTTTTCTGTGCTTGAAACACTTCTTCAGTTTTATATCTCAAAAGTATTATTATGGAGTTTAAAACGGGAATATTTTTATTGGGATCCTGACACTTTTAAGAAATTATTCCTGTAAAAATATTCACTTCCCAAAGGGCAATACATTTTCTCGGCTTGAAAGCCAAGAATTGTGAGGAAGTAATAAGTTAATCAGGGTTCTGATTAAATAGCACTCACAGACCCTCAGGGTGCAATGGCTCAATTAAGATAGAAGGGTTCTTTTTCCTGGAACAGTGCAGAGATAGGCAGGTGGTCCAAGGGAGTAGTCTTCTGTGCTTTATGCAATTATTCAGGAACCGACGTCTCCTTATTCCTCCACCACCTAGGAATATTTGTGTTTTGAGGTGTTCTGTGCAAGTGTTGAAAGCTACTCGTCACTTCTGTGTCTGCATTCCAGCCCACCAGAGGGAGAAGGACAAAATAAATCACTTTCCATGCATGACCATAATGCAGGAGGACATCTGTTCCAGCACATTCCCAACTAGAAATAAAACTGTTAGATTTAACATTGTGATGGATAAAAAGCAAAACGTCACTAAAGTTTTAGCTCGCATTTTTGTTATTGGAAGTGAGGTTGAACTCCTTTACAGATGTCAGAGTTATTAGCATTTCCTATTCTGTGAACCATTTCTGTCCCTTTCTGACTAATGTGTAAGATTTTGCTGTATCAGGTGGGAATTGGTTCTTTGTGCAATGAGTTGAAAGCATTATCCCACTTTGTCATTTAACGTGGTGTGGGGGGTGAGGTTAATACTGTGGTTTTTGAACTCAGGGCTTTGCTCTTGCTAGGCCAGCGCTCTACTGCCTGAGTGATGCCTCCCGACTATATTGCCCTGGTTAATTTCAAGAAAAGGTCTCACTTTTGTCTCAGACTTCCCTGGATTGTGATCCACCTCATTTATACTTACGCTTTAGTTGAGATAAATAGGTATACAACACCTTACCCAGCTGTTGGCTGGGAATGGGGTCTCAAGCTTTCTGCCTGGGGTAGCCTTGAACTGGGATCATCTTCTGCCTCCTAAGTAGCTAGGGTTCCAGGCTTGACCCACTGCACCTTTGAATTAATTCACTTTTTAGTGGTGTCTAGATTTGGAGGCATAACTAGAGATGATTTCCCAAGTTGGTGCTTAAAGAGTCCAGGGATCTGATATGAGAAGACAAACTTGTGCAATGATGCATGAGGAAATAAATCAAGTGTATGCAGAGTTCTTTACTGCAGGGGTGAGTTGACATAAAGTAACTGGACTTGATTTTTGCAGCCCCTCATCTGTGTTTTATATTTATCCTGATTTCTGACATCTCGACTCTCATCTACAACGTTTGCCATCTATCTATCTATCTATCTATCTATCCATCCATCTATCCATCTATCTATCCACCCATCACTCTGTCTATCTTCTTATAAGAGAGCCTTCTTATAGTATATTTCTTATTAATCAAAAGACATTGGCTGACTCTCTTCTTTGGAAAGCAAGAACAACGGACATTAGTCACAGCCTGTTGATTCTGTCCATGTCCCACAGGAAAGAAAACATGTTCCATGGTGCTGTCGTGGAGTTTGAGGCCCCTATTTGAGCTTTTCCTAAGGATCATCTGTGATAGCAAGGCAGACTTGGAGGTGGTTAGCCCTGGAGGAATGAGGCCTGGTGAGCTACCCACTGTAACCAGAGCTGTTCTCACTGCGCATGCGTGTTTTCCACAGGCACCAGCTGGAGACTCCAGGGCATTACTCTCACCTGGCTGCGTTCTATGAGGACAAGAAAGGAGTGCTCCATGCTGGCCCCGGGAGAGGCAGCAGCCTGCCCCCTGTCTATTGGCTGCCTTCCATCCACCGCTACATGTATCCTGAGATGAAGGTATGGTCCATCAGTCTCTCCCACGCTCCTGGAATGCTATCTGTGCATAGTGATTATCAATTTTTAATTGATAAGGAATTTTTGTCTAGGACTCTTGCAAAAAGTCTGCTTCTGATAGAATTGGATCATAGCATAAACCTTTGGGTTCTAGACACTTCTGTAATCATAGGTCAAAAATCACATAAGATAGGTGAGTTTATGATGGATTTTAGGAGGATAAAGGGGGATTTGATTTTCTTAGTTGCTTTAACATTGTAAAGCCAAACATTTGAGCCAAAGATTTGATGAATAGATATGAGCATTCTTTGTTTTTTGATATTGTCCTATTTTGTAGTTTTGTATTTTGTATACATTGCTTTTGATCACATAATATCTATTAATATTTAAAAAAAAAACCTCCTAGCCACATATTAAGTGTTGGAGAGACACTTCTTTCCATTCCTTCATTCTCCTCTGTGTCTAGTCACAAGATGTTTCAGTGGACACCTTGGGCTCTTAGAGAAACACTAGGCATGTTTAGGGAGAAGGTATTCAGGAAGAGGAGTTGGTCCCTGAAGCGTTTGGCTAGCTAGAAAGTGAGGGATACCAACTCCAGACTGGGAAAAGACGAGCAATTTAGAGAGAACGAAAGGATTTTTAGTCCTAGTTTTCTAGATTAAGGGATTTAGAATTGAGACTTATCAAGGGTTCAGTGACTTGCTTTATTTCTTAGAGCCAGAAAGAAATAGGACCTAAATTTATACAGGACTTGTGCCAAAACCAACACCCATTTCCTGCATTACTTCACTGCCTTTTCCAGGTAGGGACACAGGAGAGCAAAAGACATATGCATGGGTCATAAAACTGTTTAACTCTTTCTTTAAAATACGGTGGCCATCAAAGAAAAGAGGAGAAAAGTACAGTGAAATCAGACGGAAGAGAGCCTTAGATACCAAAGCATGGAATTTGAAGCCTAGGAAGTCACAGAATGTTATTGGGAAAATAGATACCATTTTAGGTATTTCAGACTAATTCATTGTAGGGTAATAGATAATGCAGGAGTTAGAAAACTGAAGGAGAAAGCTGAAAAAAAGGTACTCATTATCTATCAATCTCTACATAACTACTAATATATATTAGTGTAACTATAGATATTATTTATTAGTAATGTAACTAATATAAATATTATATATAAGTAGTATAAGTAGTTACAAACTGTAACTATTGTTCTGTTCTACCCACCTATTGCTTTCTAATAAATTGCCCCAAGATCAAGAGCTTAAACCCATGCATACTTAAACCCCATATATATATATATATATATATATATATATATATGTATAAATTCACAGTTTTTGTAAGTCACAAGTTCAGACAAGGCTTAGAAGGGCTCTTGACTTCATTGTCTCTCATGAGACAACAAGACAGGTGTTAGCCAGGGCTGGGGCCTCATTGGAAGGTTCAGCAGGGGAAATATCCACCTCCTAAGTTCCTGTGGACATTGTCAGGATCAGATTTCTTCAGAGCTATGAAACTGAAGGCCTTAGTACCCTAGATGGCCGTTGGAAGCTGCCCTCAGTTTTTAACCATGTGGCAGTTTGCTTCATGAAAGCCAGTAAGATGGAAGAGAGTATCTTTTGTAGCCGGATTATAGAAGTGACAGTTCTGGATTGTAGTCATATTCTCTTTGTTAGAAGCAAGTTACTCAAGAAAAAGAGGATTACATATTTATAGCATAAGGCTATAAATACCAAGATGGAGAGTCATGTCTAAAGAGATTCTTAGCTAGTGGCTCACACCTGTAATCCTAGCTACTCAGGAGGCTGAGATCTGAGGATCACAGTTCAAAGCCAGCCTAGGTAAGAAAGTCCATGAGACTCTTATCTCCAATAACTCAGAAAACTAGAAGTGGCGCTGTGGCTCAAGTGGTAGAGCACTAGCCTTGAGCTGAAGAGCTGAGGAACAGCACCCAGGCCCAGAGTTCAAGCCCCACAACTGACCAAAAAAAGAAGAGAGAGAGAGAGAGAGAGAGAGAGAGAGAGATTCCTGCCACACCAAGGCAGAGCAAGAAGGGAGAGGGAAATCCTCATCAAAACCACGGGGCTTGGAGGAGGGGCCTCTGTGCAGCCAGGGCTGAGATTGCTGAGGGAAGCCCTGTGCTTCTGCTGTTAGAGCCACTTACATAGCAGCCCAGCTCAGCTTGTACTGAATGTGCTGAGAGTGCCAAGCAAAGCTAGGGTCTTAGGTGTCTGCTGCTGTGGGAGAAATACCAAGAGGAACTAGACATTGAAGAGAATTTCTCCTCCCTTCCTCATGACCTTCAGTTTCCAGTAACTACCTTTATTAGAAGAACCTAAACAGAAGCTCCTTGCAGTTTTCAGATTCGCCAGTCATAGAGTAGCAGAGGTATAATAATAATTACATAAGAAGATGGTGGGAAAGCTCTACAGGGTCTGTTTTGTGTGAGAGTAGCAAGAAGAAGAAAACTATAGCTAATATGAGCACACCTATGATTATGTCACGTAATCATCTCAGTTATAGGACACATACATATGTGAATATAGAAAACTATGGGTGAATGTTTACTGAGATATTAATACAAACTCTTATAATTTATAATCTATAATATTTATATAATTTATATAATTATAATTCACACATTAAATTTATGTAATTATATATTCATATAAATATTAATATATAAATACATATGGCTTGAGATGAGACAAAGTCTGATGAGAGGAAGAAGATAATGCTTATATATAGAAGGGCTTAAGCACAGCCACAGAATTCAACCCTCTGCCATATAGCTACGGAGTTCAACCAGCTGCCCATCAAAAATACCAAAAGAAAAGCACAGCTATTTCGAACCTGTACAGACTATTTTCCATCATTAGCCATAAACAATACAGTATGTTAACTGTTGACCTACATTTATATTGTACGAGGTATCATCAGTCATCTAAGGATGCCTTAGAATGTGTGTGAAGATGTGTGTAGGTGCTAGGCAAGTACTGCCTTGCTATGTTCGAAAGTGAACATCAGATTTTGGTCCTGGGCAGTGGGGTGAAGGGGAACTTGGAACAATATTCTGAAGATGCTATGGGTTGGCTTAATTAGATAAGAAACTCTGTTATTTATAGAAAGTCATTTGTATATTCTTACTAAGACATTTTTAGCTTTCCGTATAGGTGGAGAAAAAGGGAGCACTGGGTCAAACAGGTTAAACCTGTGCTCATTGTGCAGCTGAATGGACTGAAGTGGGAAGGGTGGAGGGCTCTGGCCGATTCCCAGCAGAGGGGAAGGTTGTGCTGTGGTGGCCTGCCCAGAGCTTTCCTCATGCCCAGAGCTACCAAGCTGGTAGCTCCAAAGAAGTCACTCACTCCTGCTTGTTTCCTTCTTCCCTGGCCACTTTTTATTTTGTTTGCAGATTACACACCCAGCTGGCTGCATGTCTCAGTTTATTAAGTTCTTCGGAGAGCAGATCCTCATTCTCTGGAAGTTCGCCTTACTTCGAAAGCGCATTTTGATATTTTCTCCCCCGCCAGTGGGCGTTGTGTGCTACCGAGGTAACCAGAAGCCTCTGTCCAGGCTTCTTCCCAAATTCACAGAACATGAACTGCTTCCATCTTTCTTTGTTGGCCAAGTTGGGGAGAGCTTGGGTCATATCAAGGAGATTGAGGGTTTTAATCTGAAATGTGGGCTGATTACATTTGTGTTTCATTTTATTTATTTGTTTTGCCTGGTCCTGGAGCTTGAAATCTGGGTCTGGGCTCTGTCCCTGAGCTTTTGTGCTCAAGGTTGGTGCTCTACCACTTGAGCCACAGCTCCACTTCTAGCTTTTATGATGCTTATTTGGAGATAAGAGTCTTACAGACTTCTGCTCTGGCTGGCTTTGAACCAGGATCCTCAGATCTCAGCCTCCGAATAGCTAGGATTACAGGCATGAGCCACTAGTACCCAGTTTAAATTTGTATTTTAGAATGTGGAGTCTGCAGGTAATGAGAAAATGGATTTAGTGACTGACACACCAGTAGCCTAGTGAGATATAAGGGCCTGGTTTAAAGCGGAGAAGATGGTTCTGGGTGTGTTTAGGAGATGAATGGATTGGGTTGTCTGATCAGTTGTAAAGGCTCTGGCATGTATGAAGGGGTACTGGGGAGGAGTATGGGGTGACATGGATGGTGGGCCCTCAAAATGAAGGACCCGGAAAAAGTGGTGAAAGGGTTGGTTTAAGGGGGTTGATGTGGGACATGGTGAATGAGCACTGGCTGAGATTTTTGCCAAGAAGATGGATACCAAGTGCTTGAATAGCTGGGTCAGGGCCTCTGTAGAAAATGCAGATGCAGATGTGAGGCTGACATTAAGACTTGTGACAGTCATGAGATGGATGAATAGTGATGTGCCAGGCACAGGAGATAGACTGACCACTGGTAGGACAGAGAAACTGAGGTAGAGCTATCAGAAAGGGGAAACCAGAGAATGCAGGGTTATAGCAGGCCAGTCTTGAGAATGGGGTAGTTCAGAAATGTCAAAGTCCAAGCAAGACCAGTGGAAGAGTGAAAAACATCTACTGGATTTGATAGGTGCATTGTGGATGTGGCCTTTAGGAGACCCAAGTTCTCTAAGGGGCCCTAAGAGCTTCCTACCGAGTGCCAGGGATACCTGGCTCCTGGAGCACCATGATGGTCCAACGCTTTTCTGTTAGCCTTCAAGCATCTCTGTTAGTCCATTTCCAGCTGCTCTAGCAAAATGCCCAAGGCTGGGATAATTAATTCACACAAAGGCTTGACTCATGGTTCTAGAAAAGAAGAACGTGGCACTGGTGTCTACACAGCTCTAAATGAGGGGCTGGTGGTGGAAGAGTGTGTGAGAGAGAAGTGCCAGGCTCACTTCCTTACAACTGTTCTCTAGATAAGCACTCGTGGAACCACATTATCTCCTTCTCGTGACCCTCTTCAAAGCCAGTCATCTTTCAGAACGGTGACATTGGGGACCAAGTGTCAACAGGAGTTTGGGCAGGGACAAACCACATCTACACCATCGTGGCTTCCTTATGGTGTTGACCAGCAGGCTTCAGTGGAGGAGGAGGAGGAAGAGTAGGGGCAGATACTTCTCTCACCTCTTCTTCCCTCCCTCCCCATCAGTGTACTGCTGCTGCTGCCTGGCCAATGTGTCCCTGCCAGGCATCGGAAGCACTATCCCCGAGTCCAAACCTTTCTTCTATGTGAACGTAGCTGACATTGAGAGCCTGGAGGTCGAGGTGTCCTATGTGGCCTGTGAGTACAAAGCTTCCCTTCCTCCTGTCCCTTATCCAAGCCTACCTACTCCTCCTCTGGGCTTGTGGGCTCCCTGATCCCCCAGCAGGGTCAAGCTAGCATTCTCAGTGGTTCCTTGGGGTCTGAGTTTGCAGGTACCACAGAGAAGATATTCGAGGAGAAGCAGGAGCTCTATGATGTCTACGTGGATAACCAGAATGTGAAGACACACCATGACCATCTGCAGCCCCTGCTGAAGATCAACAGTGCTGACCGGGAGAAGTACCGGAGACTGAATGAGCAGAGGTAGGGGCAGCTGGGGTACCGGGCCTGCGAGGGCCACACCTAGGCCAATGAGAACAGCCCAGGATTCTTGAACCTTCTCAGAACCACACTGGCAGTCTCTGTAAAGCCTGTCCCACTGCCCCTTTGCCTGACAGTACACAGCCTGCCTGGGTACTGCAAGCATAGGACAACCCGACCTCCACGTTACCCTCTCTGCAAAGCAGCAGACAGACATGGAGGTTTCTTTCTGACAGGCTTTGGAATCTGAACCTCTGCAAAGGGAAATTGCTCTAGCTTTCAGAAACTCTCCTGATGACTGTGTGTGTGTGTGTGTGTGTGTGTGTGTAACAACCATGTATTGAACCTCTACACCATGTGAATCCCACTTAGGAACTTGCTAAGGTGTTATTTCATGTGGTCGTCCTGTGAACTATGAGGTATCATCACTACCATCTCTATTGAATGGACAATTAGGAAAGAGCAGCCATTGTCCTAGTTACCTGGGATTTTGAGTCTTCCTGTTGACCCTTCCTTGTCTCTGTGCCTCTGCATGAGGCCCGCTCTGCCTTGTGCTGCTTCCTGGGAGATGTGACCCATTGTAGATGCCCGGCTGCCGACAAGCCTGTGGCTGGGGCCCTGTAGTCAGGCTGGCTGATGGTGATCTTCTTCCCAACAGGCAGATGCTGTTGTACTCTCAGGAAGTGGAAGGAGACTACAATCCTTGTGAAGAGGACCTGTTTGTGCTGTGAGTGAGCCTGGGCCGCAGCTGCGGGCCCCTGAATCCCTGCAGCTAACTGTCCTGGTTAATGACATTCCTCATGTCACTCAGTGGAAGTAGAGCTGTGGCTCAAGGGGTAGAACACCAGCCTTGAGCAGCAAGAGCTAAGGGACAGTGCCCAGGCCCTGAGTTCAAGCTCCAGTACCAGCACATACCAAAAACAAAACAAAACAGCAACAACAAAAAACAGTTAAAAATAGCAATGTGGGTTCCAACCGTGTGGATTATCTAGTGAGTTCTTGTCTTTTCTTCCCTCCCTGTCCTGTCTTGCAACTACAGGTTTTTCCTGGAGCAAAACAACCGGATATTTCAGACTTTATTGGAAGTGTCTGCCAGTCAGGACAAAACTCTGACAGCAGAGCATGCCCGTGGCATGGGCCTGGACCCGCAAGGAGACCGGAGCTTTCTCATGGACTTGCTGGAGGCCTATGGCATTGACGTCATGCTGGTCATTGACAACCCCTGTTGTCCATAGGAAGATTGGCACGGAACTGGCAAGCCACGAACGTGGAGTGTACTCCAGGCTTCCAGTGGCCTCAGTATTTTCTAAGCTGACACAAAGGAAGACTGTTTCTACTTACCCACAAATGTAATTTTTGCAATTTTCTTTTTTTCCCTAAGGGTAAGAGAGACTGCCTTGGTTTTGTACCCTGCTTTGGTGGGACATTTGGTAGGGTACTTCCTCTCAGAGATGCTGGGTTTGGGGCTTAGTCTTAGTAGATGTGTTACTAGGAGTACATTGAGATCTGGAAACACTGGGGTGGATTCCACCTGCCTGGTCTGTATGTCCTTGTCTCTTGATTCGTGCAAGAATAAGACAACCGTCTGTCTAGCGTGGCCTTAACATGTTCATCTTCCTACAGGCAGAAAGTGATGGATGACCTTGAAAGGTCAAGGTCTAGGGGTCAGAAGTGTTGGGATCAAGTCCTTTTTTCTGTTCATTAGAGCAAGTCTTTGTCTTCTCTGATCACTTAAGTAGGGACCACAGAGTGACACAACGTATGTTTCTTATACCAATTATGAGCTCTAGGACAAAAGGAATGGAGAGCTAGTTTGTGGGTCAGCTGAAAACCTGGAAACCCTTTTCTAAGTCAGTGAATGCTGGCTACTTGGTATAATGTTCTTTCTCTGAATCTCACCTCTGGAGATTGGCTGGTGACTTCCTCAGGGCCTACACTGCCCTAGAGCTTGCAAGCAAATTCATTTTTACAATTGAGTCTCCCTACAGGGCTACACATCCTCCTGTAATGACTGGGGTACTTTGCAAGGATGAAGTGGTAGATATTTAAACAGGGTAGAGGAGAAGCTGTGAGTTTCTTCTCCAGGACTCCAAGAGTTCTCTAGAACCTTCATCCATAGACCCTCTGGAGTAGACAGATCCACTGGATTTGGGATCCAGCCAGGATCTGATCTGTTTGAGGTTAGATTGAGTTGTGTTAACCAGACTGTTTACAGATGATGAACATCTGTCTCTTCAGCAGAGGTGTTTTCCTTATGCTAAGGTCACTGGGTCCAGGAGTGTAGGATTTGTCAGCAAGTGTAGCCATGCCTTCTTGCAGGAGAGTGGGTGGACTCTTCTCGTGTCAGTCATGACTATATCCACTTTCTTAGGAGTTTTTCAAGTTGGGCAGCATCTTGTAGTGACCTGCCCATCCTTTTGGGCTGGGTTTCTTGATGTCTAAAAGCTTAGGTAAGAGGACGGTTGTTAACTAAAGGTAAAAAAATCAGTTCGTATAGTAGTTTAGAGGGTTTTTTTTGGGGGGGGCATACTTAAGGACTCTGGTTTAGGATCCTGGGCTGTTAACAGATTAATTTCTTCTCTTGCCTCCTGCCTTCTGAATTCTGTTCTCAGAAAAGAAGCTGATACATTCATCCATGTCTGTGGCCAGAACACAGCCAGGCTAGATGTCCCCAAAAGAGAGAAATAACCTTCCAATGGATGGGCCATGCCTCTTATCTCAGTACTAGCCTTTTACTGTTAAAAGTATTTCCACTGTAGCACCTTGATACAGAATTCAAGAGTGAAGAAATTCATATGTATAGAAACAGGAATAGACACTGATTAATCAGGGTAGCCACTTTTATGTAAATATATAAATAGGTTTGGGCATTGAAATGTGAACTGTGCAACTAATACATTTTCCTCTTTCCTCCTCTGTATTGTGGATTTAGCTATCATCTCAGAAACATGTTTACAAAAGGAAAAAAAAAACACAACTTTTTTATGGACCACCTTCTCCTTCCTTGCAGGGCAGACAGGGACTTTCTCACTGGGGTTATCATTCCTTCTAGTAGTGAATGAGGCTTGGAGTCTTCTAATTGGGGCTCCAAAGTTTGAGCCAAGTCATTGCTTAGCACTAGCTTTGCCTTTGAACATGAAGCCCTCCTCTCCTGGGGATGTTATGGCCCTGTCATTTGTGAGTACTGTAAATGGGGAAGGGATCTGCATCCCATACCTTCCATCCACTCTGCCATGTCTTCTGTGGGGCAAGGGCAGGAAAAGCCAAGTTCATGGATGCACCAAGAGTAGTAATTCAGCACAGGAACTTGCATTTGAAATCAGCCTTGTTATAAATCACATGGTAACCAAAATGGGAACGGTTAAGAGTTGTACACAAGTAAGATAGCATTTGTTGGCATATATGAAGGTTCATTATTTAACTACCTATGTTTTACAAGGGAGATAAAGGTAAATTAATTGCTAGGCACATCACTGTCTTCCTTTTGGTGGCCAGGAAGATGGACTTGCTATCTGTCTTCATATACTGAAAGCACTTCAAACACTGAGGTCAAACGAGCCACCTCTCCAGGGGCACCTGGTGTACAAGAGGGTAGTGATAATCCTTGTAGGGGCAGACATCAACCTCTGACAAGAGACAGGGACCTGAGGGACTGTTGGCCTTTGAAGCTGCACAGCCCAGGAAATGGATTGAGACGTGCTCTCACCCTTGAAAAGGAGGGAATGGAAGGTGGATGTGGATGAAGATTACACAATAATGAGCAGCTTTGCCACAGACCTGCTTTAGGGTGAGCACGGTTCTAAAATGGATAAGAATGAATAAGGAGAACTGTGTGGCTCTGTGTGGGCTGCCAGCTCCCTGCCAGGCTAGTTGGATCTGAACCTGGGACATGTCTAGCTGTCCTGTCTCTTCCCTTCACCTAGCAATTACATTTGAGGGGGTATCCTGCAGCCCCGTAGGCTCGCCTTGACAGGCCCAGACTCTGCCCTTCTCATTTCAGGAAAACGCTTTACTGATTCAGGTAGGGCAGGGGAGGAGTTAAGGACTCCTTTTATCGACTGTCATTTTAACATTTCATTTTTACTACTAATATACCTCTGGTTCCCAGGAGCTATTGGAGCACTGAGTATTGTAGGAAAAGGCTGTGAATGAAGTTAATGTTTTTCTTACAAGAAGTGGAAGTTTATTTTTATATCGTCCTTACTACTTGATGAACTGGGTATGAAGGTGTTGAAATGGAAAATTTCCAAGCTATAACCCTAGAAGAAATGGGCGGTTTTGTATTTTGGTAGCAGCTGAAACATTTAGAGGCTTCGCATGGCATTCCATGTGAATAAGGACATTGTGCTGTGTGATCTTGGCAGAGCTCCACATCCACATCCACAGGCCCAGGAAGGAGGATGCCACACAAACACTAACTTCAGAGAAACTCTAGGACCCAAGAGAGGAGGGGAGCTTCTGAGTAGCAGGCCCCCTCGTTCAACTAGAGGGAATCGGGAACAGGAGGTGGTTTTCTAGCTAATTCTTCCATTCATTTTAAAAGGCTGACATTTTGGAGTGGTTGGATGACATTGCAAACTTAGAAAGGGAATGGGAAATTTTTAGTGCTGCACAGGGGAAAAATGAGAATGGGTAAATAAAATCCCACTCTCTTCATTTTAGAATTTATTCTTAAAATTCAGCAGAGGATGGACTTTGAAGAGCTGGGAGGACCGAAATTCAAAAAGGTTATTCAATACCATAATAGCGTAGTGTTACTGACTTTTGGGTAAAATGCCTCTTCAGACAAATGATGAGTTGAATTTGCTTTCTAAGAGTAATTGGGGAGTGTGGGATGAAGTAGGGTATTATAAATTGGACAGAGATAACCCACAAAGCAAAAAACCCATACTGAGGTAATCAGTGTTGGAAGTATATTTAATTCAAATGAAGAGTGAAGCAAAGATGAAGTATATTAAAAAATTAGGAAAACAAGGTTTGGGTCTGTCATGCCCGAACAGTCCTGAGTGGGGACCGTAGGAGTTCTGGGTTTGACTAGCCTGGGTGGGTGACACCAGAGGTTGAGCATAGAGGTTAACAGAGTGAACTCTTGTTTACCCAGAGCTTGCTGGCTAACATTTTGTACAGGTCTAGAATATAAATCTTTCCTGAAGACAAGGTAGTTGTCACCTTGGAAACCCTGTTTCCCTATTTTTGTTTCCAAGTAAGGCTCAGCATAATGTCCCTGGTTGCCTTAAATGTAAAAACCCTATTTTGAGTCATATCCCATCCTAAGAGTTAAAGCAATAAGAGAAACTGAATCTATTTTTGTTTCAAGTTGTTACCTCATGTGATGAAATCGGCAACTTCTTAAGTTTTGCCCTGGATGCTACTATAAACAGGTGCAGTGGTCTTTTTTTTCCCTCTGTCTTTATTGGCGATAATTTAAAGGCTTGAAGAAAGCTGAGGTTAATCATATGGCTAAGAGTCAATGTTTCTTGAATTGCTTTGTTTGGTGGTATAAATGACATCTATGTATATCATATCTGTATATATCTGAACCAAGTTGTGTGCAGAGGTTGATATAACTATATTTACAGTAAACAATTTTTACAATTAAAGTTCACATTTTAACATGACTCTGTGCAGTGTCAAAAATGTGGTTTGTGGTTGGAAGGAATGATGGTGGTCCAACTGGGGACCAGAGCCCTTGGGCTGAACCCTGCCTTCGCTTACAGTGATGGGGAAGAGACCTGGAGTTTCTCTCCATCCTCAGAGAAGTTGTGGTTTGGATATACACTGTCCAGGAATCAGAAGCCAAAGTTGAGAATATGCCATCCAGAAGAGCGAGGGCTATGTACCCAGAGTCACAAAAGAGAACTTTGAGAAGCGGCCCTTCTGTTCTATGCAGTGTCTTAAAAGACAGGAGGTTTTGACACAGGTGTCTGTGTGTGTTTGTAGTGAACCTTTGGGGAGCTATTTTAAACATTATTTTGGGCATGCTGGAAAACTGATGTGTCACGTGCATGCACAAAGCACTGGTGCTTAGTCATTTTAACTTTAGAGGAAAGAAAAGGCTTTGCTAACCTGTTGTCTAGAAGGCCTGTGCTGTACAGTATTCAGCTTTTGAGTGCAATGAACCCATAAAGTTTGTACTGCAGAGGAGGGCAGCGTCTCCTGCGCTCGGCTCAGCATTCCAGCTGTGGCTGCATTGTTAAACATCATTTCACATGCTCATTGCATGGAAGGACAGCGCGAGAATAAAGAAATAGACAATAAGGAAAGCAAGTCCCCAAAGCAGAGCCTAAGAAAGAAAACAAAATTCGAACAAAATTTTACAAGTAAAATTCTTATGTGCAAATATCTTTCCCCAACCATTTGCACCACTGATTATACTAAACACACACACACACACACACACACACACACACACAGATTTAGCACTTTAGTGAAACAAGAAAGTCAGATTCTGTATTGGCCCTACACACTGCTACAGAACCCTAATATGCTAATTTTATTCCTTACACATCCCCTCACCTCTCCATGCTGGCTTGAGGGAGGTGGGTTTGGACCCCCTTAGAATTGTGCTCAAGTAAAAGTTTTCACCACCACCTTGACATGAGTACTAAGCAGGTAAGCCTTACATTTTGCGATCCTGTATGGAGAAGCTGTTGTTTGTATAATAATAAAGTAGTACTCTCCCCTCTCCATGGGTATATAACCTTTCTGAGAAGGAGCTGGAGCTAAGTAAGGTCTGCCAGCCAATTTTCCCCCACGTCCCACTTTGCTATCTCCCTCTGCACCTTGCTGTGCACAGATCCCTGGAGAATAAGGACCTCTGGGGTACAAAGCAAGGGAAATGTCAAGAGCAGTATTAGGACTGATTAATACTCGTCCTTAGAAAATTGGGTGGTTTTTAGTTCTCTGCTTTTAACGGAGGATCTAATTGAGTTAACTGTTGAGAAGTCACTGGCTGTTTTAATGGTAGAACACTGCTTGTGCCATGTAACTTCAAAAGAATTCAAAGAACTGTGTAAAATTGTTGTGATTTTTTCTATTTGTTTACTTGTGTGCACACAAGTATAAAAAGCTAAACAAGGACTATAACTATAGTCAAATCTTCTTGTTGCGCTACAAATTGGATTTATGTAAAGGATAAAGAAAATTCTAATAATTTTTAATTATCAAAGTTAACTTTCCTCAATTAGGGTGCCCAGTAATTACAAAAACATTTTGTTTTTCACTAAGCATTTAGGAACTAGCCAAATGTATTTTATGTCCGATTATATTTTTTGTGAATGAAAAGCAATCAATACAAATGCACACATAAAAACAGATTACATTATAAGGGTCTTTTGCTGAAAGTGTTATGGAAATCCACAGGGAGAAAAGTTAAAACATATTCAACCACTGAAGAACGAGTTCCTTTATTGTTATAAATGAAGGAGGGGCATCAAGTTGCTCTGGTATTTAAAACCTACTGATGTGTTTAAACGGGTGGCTTCACACGTCTTATTTTAAGATGAATATTTACACCGCCCCAGGAAGGCCATGCCACTGTTTCATCTCCCTTGAAGAGCGGCGGGCGTCGGGTGTTGATGGTGGGCCTGGCGTCTGTGGACCGCTCCGCACGCACTGCGCAGGCGCCTGTGGACCGCTCCGCACGCACTGCGCAGGCGTCTGTGGACCGCTCCGCACGCACTGCGCAGGGGAGGCCGTGGCGGCCGGTGATGGCGCTCCGGGGCCTGGCCCCGGCCCCGCTACCAGGCTGTCAGTTCGCGGCAGGCCGGCACAACCTGGACCCCGCACTTAGAGGGGACTGGATGGGAGAAACCCCTTGACACTTGCTTTTGGGTGGAGGATGACACTGAAACAAGAGCTTACAAGGTACCAGCGCACACACGAGGGGGAGGAGGTGTCTGGGGCGGCCGTGGGCGTCCCTGGGGACCCCTGCAGCCAGAGCGCCAGTGCGAGCACGTGCTGTGCCAGCAGACCCGCCCCTCCGCACGCCTGGAGCGCATGCGCAGACGTGCAGGAGGCACCACGCATGTGCGCGGAAGGAGCACGGACAGAAAAGGAGGGGAGAGGGGCTGCGGGGAGCGCTGCGCCAGCGTGTGGAGCAGTGGAGCAGGTGGGGCCGGTGGTGGGGACCCGAGGTGCCCGGTCCCGCGGCGGCCGGCGGGGCGGCGTGCCGGGCCTCACTAGGCTGCGCTCTGCAGCATTTCTTCCCGCTTCCTGGGGTCGCAGAAGAAGCGCAGTTTTCTGGGCAGCAGCTTCACCTCCACGGGCATCGCTTCGTACTCCTCGCTGTCAATGCTGAAAGAGCCCCCCGTTCCCTGGGGAGAGGAGGCGGCTCAGAGGAGGGGCGCCTGCCCCGGCTTGGGCCCGCCTGCCTGCCCCCCAAGAGCCGGACCAACCCCCCCCCCACGAGCCCATCCCCACATCCTAACAAAACAGCTCAGTGCCCAACTGCTCTGGGAACACTCACCCAGCACTCCAGGTAAAAGGACTTTCCTTCCTTCCCTCCCTCCTTCCCTTCTTCCTTCCTTCCCTGCCCTCCCTCCTTCCCTGCCTGCCTGTCTGTCTGCCTGCCTGCCTTCTTTCCTTCCTTCCTTCCTTCCCTGTCTCTTCCCTCCCTAGGTATTTTGGGACATAACGAGGTTAAACTTTTCAAACACAGGGCTGGGAAAGTAACTCTAGCTGTGAAGCATCCACAGTGTTCCAAATAGTCATTCAGAAGCAGGGATTGGCCAGTGTGGTGGCTCACATTTGTAATCCCAGCTCCTCAGAGGTGGAGGTAGAGAGGATCAAGGACAAAAAGCTAGTGAGATCCCATCTCAACAATTCTACATGAAGCTATGGTCCAGCTGTGTGGGGCCCTCCGTTACCTACAACCTTAAATGCTGTAGCACCAGGCCATGGCTCTTCAGAGGCCTGCACTAGCGTTTTCCTGAGCTAGCGCCAATCAGGTATTCTTACAATTCACGGATCTCCAATTTTTTTTTTCACTTTCATAGCTAATTCTTCAAAACATGGATGCATTTCTCAGTGCCAATTCAGTGCGGATTGAAAATTGATTCCAGATCCTTTATAGGAAATGTTACAATGAAGCCTACTACTTGCTGGCTAGAGAATTCTTCCTGTTTCATCATAGGAGACTTTAGCACTGTTGACACATGAACCCACTGCTTGGAGACTGAGAGACCGCCTCTGACCCTGACTGAAGAAGCCTCAAGTCTTCAAGCCATGACCCAGGGGCTCAACTCTCCTTCCCATGTCTCCCTCACTTGGACCTAAACCTCGCAAATACTTGGCATATAGGGGGCGGGAAACAAAGGAGTAAGAGCAATAAAGAACCCACCCACCGACGTGGGCCCACCCCAGTACCCCTTCTCCCCTCCCCTCTCACCTCCGGAAGCAGCAGCGTGCAGCGGCTTGCCTGGAGGCACTCGGTGCCATCTGCTCGAAGCTTGGGGTTTCTCACCTTTTTACTTCTGTTAGTATGGGGTGGGGAATAGCAAGCAAGCATAGAAATCAGTGATGGCATTGAACAACTCAAGCTCCAGCTGTCCCCCTCCTCAGAGGAGGACAGGAAGTACTGTTCAAGGACGAATACATTCCCCACCATGACTCCTGCTCAGCTTTGTGGCACCTTTCAGATTTAGCAGGCTAACCTGCTCTAGAAAACTGGGCAGGAATTGTTCCTTTGTTTCAAATTAACACACCAATCTAATTGCTAGGCAGGTAGTCTCAAATTTAAAGAGCAAAATGAAATTGTAATTCTCTGGGAAAAGTACTAACCTGTCACTGATCCTTCCTGTTATTCTCTATTAAAGGAGAAATAATTTATATTCTAGCTTAAGACAGATATTTCTTTTATATACATGAGTCAGTCCTAAGACATTCTTGAATGATTAGACTGACAGCCTACTAGCATATTTTATCCCTACTAGATAGCCTTGGAGTAAAACAATACACACACACACACACACACACACACACACACCACATGATTTCAATTTTGTATTAGTAGGGATACACATACATGCACATATCCGTGTGTGTGTAGAAAAATCAAGAAAATTGAATTCATTCTTTTCTATATGGAACACTATATGGAACTGTCAAAAGAGTTCTGGAAATTCAACTTCACTATGTTCTGTAAACACACAAACACATTACATGATTAATTTCACTTCTAGTAAGGACCAAAACGAAACTTGCCACTGCAGCTGCTAAGAATGGGGAACAGAATGCCTCCGCCTGGATAAGCAATGGGCTGGGCTCTCTTTCTGCTTTGGGGTGTTGATTTTATAACGATCGGAATCAAGCTGGTTCTCATGACCAGACTCTCAGTCAATACTGTGTGTGGCTTCTGGATACTGGAGCAGAGCAGCCACAGGCTTTTCCTTTTCTCCCCTACTTGCGATACAGCAAGTGTATCAAAGGCTGCAGAAGGAGCTATTCAGCATCTGAAGAAGTTGTACCATCAACTAATGAAAGCCATTCTACTGTCAGCACTGCTGGTATAGATAAAGACGCAGCCATGGAGACGCAACCATGGAGATGCAGCCGCTGCTACAGATATGTCTCATCCCTAAATGGACACCAGAGGGAGCGCCGAGACAAAGCACAAACAGTGGAGCAGATTACCAGTTGGCATGGGAACACGCCAGCAACTCAAATGCTTTGAAGACTGCTGAAGGGTTTTAGCATTCTTAGCCAATAAAATCCTGGCAGAGGTAGAACTCTGCAGATCAGGGAGGACTTAGAAAGGTGTGTTGTATTGGAAAAGGACAAAAAGCCTGGGAAATGTCCAGGCTTTTTCAAGTTTTCCATTCACACCCTGGGAATAAGGAAAAGAAGGTGAAGTGATGGGAACAGCCAGGGAGCCTCTACAAGTGCCATACCATTTGAATACTCTCCTTGGAGGCTGATAGTAGAGATGATTATGTTGTTTCATTTAATAGATGGGGGAAAAGAAAGATTCACAAAAGCTTGTATGACCTTAGTTTCTAGGTCAGTGAATAAATAGCAGAAGCAAGACCATGTTCAGTTTTCTAACTGAAACCAGAGTTCCTGACCTTGTGCCTTGTGTGTAGAATTCCTTAATTTCAACAGAAAGCCAAAGACTGCTCTTAGTTTCTTTTCCAAAGTAGCAGACAGGCACTATGCACATTGACCATTGGAAAACTCAATGGCAGAATTCCCACACTCCATCTCTACACTCAACCATGGAGTCTGAGATCACAAGCTACTTCATGAAGCCCAGGTTACAAATGCCAGTCCACTTACCCTATGGTAATAAAGTCTCCTTTGCTGACAGTGTCAGGTTCAATACAGATGTTCATAAAGTCCTCTTTGCCCTAAACAAAGATTAAAAACACTAATTTGAATTTCGTATAATTTTACATGTAACAATTTTGTTAAATAGCTTAAAACGTGAAAAACTATTTGTAATTGTACTGTACACATCTGTAATACCAGATAAACAGGAGGAGGAAGTTGGGAGCATTGTGGCTCCAGGTCAACCCGGGCAAAAAGTTAGTGAGACTCCATCTCAACTAACAAGCAAGATATGGTGATTCTAGCCTCAGGCATGAGATGGAAGATCACAGTCTGGGCAAACAATGAAAAATAAGTAAAACAGAGAAGGGCTGGGCACGCAGCTCTCTTGTATTCTGCTCAATATGCCTGTTCTTGGAGACCAGGGAGACAGAGGTCCACAGGAGTACGGGCCTCTGTGTCTATAACATGGTCTCACTCCAGAAGTGAGCTAGTGAGCATAGTACTCATCTGAGTTGATTTCTTTCTCTCAGGGAATGAAACAGTCATTTCACAGATGCTGTCTAGCATTTAACATGCAAAGGTAAAACTGTTGCTGATGAATCTTGGCCAAAAGTCTCATAACATTATTCAAAAGTCAAGTTATTGCCAGGCACCGGTGGCTCACACCTGTAATCCTATTCAGGAGGCTGATATCTGAGGATCATGGTTCAAAGCCAGCCCGGGTAGGAAAGTCTGTGAGACTCTTTTCACCAATTAACCACCAGAAAACCAGAAGTGGCACTGTGACTCAAGTGGTAGAGCCCTTGCCTTGAGCTAAAGAGCTCAGGGACAGTACCCAAGTCCACAGCTTAAGCCCCACAACTGGCAAAAAAAAAATCAAGTTATTACATTGGCAGATTCAATGGAAAAAGTATCAACTTAAAAGATGCTGGAAGGATATTTAATAAAATTAAATGTCTTAAGATATTAGAGATTAAAAATCAAAATATGGAGTCAGGTGCCTGCCAGTGGCTCACACCTGGAATTTTAACTACTTGGGAGGTGGAGATCTGAGGATCACAGTTCCAAGCCAGCCCAGGCAGAAAAGTCAGTGAGACTCCTATCTCCAATTAATCACCAAAATGCTGGAAGTAGAGCTCTGGCTCAAGTGGTACAGCTCTCACCTGGAGCAAAAACACTCAGGGACGGCACCCAAGCCCTGAGTTCAAGCCTTAGTACTGGCACAAAAGCAATCAATCAATCAATCAAAACTCTTGACCAATTGGATTACATGAAGACTTCCTTAATGTTATCAAGTTTTAATCATACAGAATTTAAGAATAGAGCATGAAACAAAAGAATCACAAAGTGCATTCTAAGTACATTAAAAATACTAGCAAGAAAGAAAAAAAAACCATTTGTGTCCCTGTCTTGGGTTCATTTTGCTTACCATTATCTCATGTGGTCATATGCACATAGCCTTTGACCTTCTCTGATTGTCCTAGACATGTACTAGTCATTGCAAACAAGGGAAACCATGGGACCTATGCTTCTTTGGGCTTGGCTTACTTCACTTAATAATTTTTTCCAAGTCTTCCCATTTCCTGTTTTCACTGGATTTGGTGCCAGTGTTCTGCATCTTGTATATACATTTTTGTAATTTGGGGAGGGGAAGGGATATTGCAGAACGCTTAAATGGGGATGCAGGCCGACCCATGTGATGATGAGATGTACAGAACACTATGTTGAAAACGAACTACAATGTCGGGGTTGGGGGGTGGGACGGGAGGAGTTGGGAAGGTGGGGAGGGAAGTGATGGTGAGGGGAAAACAAAGGAGGAGGAAACAATGCTCACTACGAAATGTACTCATCACCCTACTCATGTAACTGTAACCCCTCTGCATAACATTTTTACAATTTATATACATGTATATATAGAATGGAGCATGACGCTTTTCTCACAGCTTGAGAAAATGGTCATGCCACTACTTCGTACAGTACCACCAGGCCTTGGCAGTGTGGTGAAGACCAAAGACTAAGAGAGAGCATATGAAAGGAGAAAACAAAACTTGTACTGTCTGTAGTTGAAGTAACAAAATCTACAGGAAATCCAAAAGAATCCAGACAATTAATAAAAGAAATTACTTACGCTGCTGCTTCAGAATCAAGATTAAAATAATAATTTACATGCCCTTCTAGTAAGCCAGTTATACAATGAAATCTGAACAAAAACTATTTATAGTAGCATCAAAAATGAAAGTAACCAAGAATAAATCCAGCAGAAGACAAGATGTATAGAGAAAACTATAAAACTTCATTGTTATTGAAGATGTAAAAAGAAAAAATGGAACAACATATCACACTCATATGCTGTAAGAGTCAATATTGTAGAAATGTCATTTCTCCTCAAATTGATCCATGACCAATGTAGTCCAGACCGATATCATCAATTTTTATGTGGAATTTAATAAACATTCTAAAATATTTATAGAAATCGAAAGAGCCACAAATTGCCAAGAGATACTAAGCAGAAAAACAGAGGAATGTATTATAAAATGGTAATAATTAGGAAAACCAGATTGTAAGTATAGAAAAATAGAAGATTAGAGGTCCTGGCAGTGTGGTGAAGAGAAAGGACTATGTATTTGAAAGGAGAAAACAAAACTTGTACTGTTTGCAGTTGAAATAACAAAATCCACAGGAAATCCATATAATTAATATGATGGAGATCTGGAGAAAATAGACATGTACACTTCAACCAACAGGCTTGGACAACTGACTATTTGGAAGGAAAAAAAATGGAGCCTTACTACCATCATTAACAAAACTTAAAGGTGTTTCCTTTTAATCAAAATGGAACTATTTGATATAAATAATTTTACTTATTATGTATTTATTTATCTGTGACAGTACCAAGGTTTCAACTTACAAATTATTTTAACTCAGTTTTTTTTTTGGGGGGGGGTCCAGTCGTGGGGCCTGAACTCTGGGCCTGG